TTCCATGTTTTCCACAGGCTAGGTAAAAATGCCAGAGTATCAGGCTATCACCTATAGCCTTTCTGAGGAAACCTTGGCTGCCTCTGGCATAAAGCGGCAATTTTATTTCAGGACCTCTATATGTCAAGAGGGCTTAGAGAATAACCAAAATCTGTCTTTCCGTCACCAAATGCAAACTTAGCGCATGGCAAATCACATAGAAACCTTGGCTCTTGGGTGCTTGTTCTGTTTGGTAACGAGATGAGAAATGTTGCTTTTATGCTTTTTACCCTCGGTAAACGAGGTGCTGTGAACATTAAAAAAATCTCCCAGGTGCTTTGCTTGTGTTGCATTTTGCTTAGCCTATTTTACTTTCTTGTTCTTGTGGACTAGAACCAGTTTTCTGTTCAGCTCAGCACAAATGAGGATAGGTATGCCTTAAAAATAGCTTTCTTGACTTCTTTTGTGGTATTTTTCTATTTTAAATTTAAAAGCTACCCGTAGGTTTTTAAACCCCTGAGAAACAGCTGTGATGGTTTCAATAGAATGCTTTGAAATAGTGTATTGCAATAATTGAAAATTATTTGAAAGACTTAATAATTATTTTTAAACAATGCCCTAAGTATGAAATCTTCCTGATACCCTGAAACACAACTCTTTAGAGATCCCAAAGTAATCAATTTTCTTTCTCTTTTTATCCTTTGCACTTTGTCTTGTTTCTGTCTTAGTTTAGGACTGGATAAGTAGGTTCCAATAACAATTTAAATTGATTGTTTTACCACTTCAAATATTTCATTATACGAAGTTCGTTTTCAACAACTTTCCTCTTAAATTCCACTGCCCTCTACTGGCTGGACCAGTAGCGTCCACCTGCCCAGTGCTCTTCCCTCTCCACTCTTTTTTTACTCCTTTTTTTGTTTGTTTGTTGGTTGTTTTTGTTTTTTTTTTTTTTTAAGGTCAGAAACCGTTGAAAAGTGTGCTGTGAAAATCTACTAAAACAGTATCTTTACAAGGTAGAGAAGGTTGCTGGTGGGATGATCTCCCTAAGGAGCCCTGAACTTTAGATTTCAATCTTCTCCTTGATCCAAAATAACCTAGTTGGGCTGATCTTGAAGTCACACTGCAAAGCCTATTTTCCAAAGGTGTAAAGGGAAAAAAAGATATGTTGGATTTCGAATCTGAGCACTGAGAGTTTACATGTATAGCTGGGATATTGTTTTGACTTTTTTCTCTGTTCCTGTGTTTTTGGGAAAATACTGGGTTACTATTTGTTTGTAAATGCAATACTTTTATAAATAAATATTTTGTAAATATAATTATATAAAATGCCTATATTTTTTTAGAAATATTAATATATATATATGTTATATTCCCCCCCTTAGGTTTTTAAATATTTTTCTCCTTTTCCCATTCACGCTGTTCTATGTCCTACATAGGAACAAATATATGTGCTTGAGTATTTGAATACTCTCATGTGCCTGAACAAACTTTTCATTTGAGTGAAATCAGATGGAAGATTAAGGCTTGGAGCGAGAATCTGAGAGCTAAACACATCTTTGATAAATTAGCTGTTCAAATGAAACTTTCAGCTATTTCTTTTTTTATAAACCTGTGAACTTTCATTATTGCAGACGTGTGTAGCCAACGCATTTGATCCTCTTCCTTCACCAGGCTCTTATCATCTGAATGCTGTGCCTGAAAGCACACTTTAGTCTTGGAGCTGTTAAGTCCAGTATAAGAACTTAGGTTATTTTTAACCTTGCCTAGTCGCAGATGAAACATTTTCGTTTCGTGTGAGTGTGCCTCTTTCCTGTGTGATGACAGTATTAGGTGCAGATGATCATGAGTTTTTCTGCAATGCTCCAATGTGCTCAGCATCTGTTTCAGCAGAGGGCAGCACATGGGGATATTAAATAATTGTGTTTCACTTGACCTTTACAGTGACTCAGTCTTTCTCCCACACTTTAATATTCTCCAGACAAGATAAACCTTGGCAATATTTTTTTTTTCCTGAAATCCTGTTTTTGCATATGTCTTTTAGTTGTAGAGCTCCCAGGTTTTGAATAGGCTTTGGTTGTCACTTTTGGCATTACTGTTTAAAACAAACAAAAGTTTTCATAGCGTTCAACTTCATTTTGTAAAACTGCCAGTTTCAGCATCTTTTCCGAAGTTATCTAACTGGGCAGGAAGGGGCTGAAGGTGGCAGTCAATAATAATGAGATTAAATCCATTCTTTTTCACTCATGCCTACCTGCCTGCACCTTTTTTCCCTTACCAGAACTGTGGTGATCTAGGGGAATGAGAAGAAGAGGAGATAAATTAATGGATATTTTAATGAAAAAAGGAAAAGCTTTCAGTCACACCACAAACAGAAGAAAGTATGGCTGCTTTGCAGTTGGTCACACTGCTGACCTTGCTTCAGGTGTAGCAAAGAGGTTTCCAGGGGCTACAAAAGGAAGTGAGTTGGGGCCTGCTGGGCTCTGATTCTGGCAGCACCACTTAAAGTTTCCATTCTACAGTCTTCTATATAGTAAGGCTGATGCTTTCCTACTTCTCATGCAGGTTGTGAATGTAGTATTTTTTTTTCTGTTGTTTAAAAGATTTTAGGTTTGAAAGGGCATTGGAGAAGTAAAGTGCTTTGTGAAATATACCTAAATTCAGTAAAGGATAGTTGCTTTAACTTCTGTACTTCCCGTGGCTTAATGAGTTTAACCAATTTATTTGTTTGAGAGTGCAGTTATTTTTTACTTCTGAGGTAGCAAGGCTTTCCATGTTGGAGAATATTGTCACTACCATGGCAAACAGCTAAAGCACTGAAAAAAGGTTAGATTGTAGCTAGATGGAAGGTATATGTGAGTTAAAACCGAATAGGCATCCTGACTCACTGATTTTTTTTTTTAATTTCTTTTTCTTCAGGTCAATATAAGATAGACTGCAGAGAAATATTTAAATAAAATCTCCTTTTAGGATCAGCAGACTTGTTCCTTGTGACTCTGCTTTGTAACTCAGAGAGGAGCAGGATGTGGGTTTTCAAGATGTTTGTTTGATCCTGTGTTCTCTCTTTAACGTTTCATATCTCAAAGTGCATGTCCTTTTTGACAGTAAGGTGGTTTCTTTGTGTTTGTCCCACTTCAAGTCACTCGTTCCCCTCTTCCCAGTGTCCCTAATATTACAGGTGCTTTTGTTTTCACCTATGAAATTCAAAATGTGCTTGTGTTGTAACTCATGGTCTAAAAAAAGATCTGTATAAAGTTTCAGACACCATCATCTCCCAGGGATTTTAGCTGTTGCTATAGAAGCCTAAACTCTCTTTTGAGAGACCTTTCCAATATAAAGAAGTTGATACTGGGGAAAAGTTGTCATGGAAATATGCAGCAAAAAGAGAAAGGAAATCTCAATTTGATGACTGTTACATGGGCTTAGCCAGCTTGGTGAAGTGGCTTCATATCTAGAGATCTGATTCTTCAGATTCTCTTTGTTACATTCCAGTGGACTGGAATGCTACAGACTGGAACCCAAAGAAATACATTATTTAACATTTATATCACCAAAGATACCTCCTCAACTCAGTGAGCTTCGTGTTTATCCAGATTCAAGTTTCCTCATTGCATAATAATGTCTAAAAAGCAGTGTGACACTATTTCTTAGGCTACCCAGTCCTCCAGATGGGGAGGCAAGGTCTCTTTCGAGCCGAGTTTGTGGCTGCATTGGAGGCATGGGGCTCATTGGTTCTCTGGCGTCAGGCCATTGGGGTGGGTGCAGAGAGCAATGTTAT